TGTAATTTGCTATGCAATATGGGAAACAAATGCAGGTAGTTAACATGGGTTTACATCACTTGAAACTAAAAGAGTATTATCAAATAGAAATGTCTACTAGAATTCTTAAATGTAGCATGTCAGAAACAAAACTCCAGGGTTTTTCTGCAAAGTTCTTCCTTCTTAACTCTTCCTCATCTCAGTAATGGCATTACCAGCTAAGAGTGCTTCAGGCCAAATACCTATGAATCCTTTTTGATTCCTACAGTTCTTCAGGTACTACACCAAATCTAACTAGTAAAGCATGTACTTATCCTGCTCTTCACTGCCTTTATCTTAATCTAAGTCCTTTTCGTCTTTAGCAATTTGTTGTCAATCAAAGTAATATTACTTTAATTCTTAAAGTACTTTTCTCAGCTCTCATTATTCTTAGAAAAAAATCTTAAATCTTTCATAGGCTCCTCAAGATCTGCCTTATCTTGCTTTCACCTATTACTCTATCTCATTTTAGATTTTCTCCCCATTCCTTGGTCAACTCCACCTATTCTGGCCACCTTTCTACAAATTAACACCTTTCTACAAATTGATCTTTCCTCTTTCTAGAACATACTTCACAAGCTCCACCTAACTGCTACCTGCACTTTTATTTTATCCATCACACTTTATTTGCTTTATCAAACTTCTCACAATCTCATTATTTTGTTGTTTATTTCTCTATGTGTTGTTTGCATGCCATCTATGGTGTTTTCCACTATAATGTCAGTTTTGTGAAGTCAACAACCTTTTCTGGTTTGTTCACTGTTGTACCTTCATTCCTATTGCAGTGTCTAAGTGGCTAGCCTCATAATAATACTTCTTCTAGCATTCTCTCATCTCCCTCTCTCCCTGCCCCACAGGATTGCCCTTAAACATTGTGTGTATTTCTATTATTTCTTCTGATTCTCTGGTGACCTTCAAAGCTACATGCTTTAGACCATGTCTCCACAACAAGGATGAGGCTCACCAATTTAAAATCAAACTACATACAACCAATAAATAAACTTTTACAGGGTTAAGTCACTGAAAATTTATGGTTGATTTTTTATGACCACATAGGCTAGGGTTACCATATTAATGAATTTGCTCATTCTGCTTGGAAAGTAAAACATATGTCTAATATTTCTTTTCTGCCTCCTTAGTACTTCTATGTACATGCACAATTCAAAACTCAGTTGTTTTATAAATGTACAAGTTAAGGTAAGAGCCATATTTTCTTTTGGTAAGCGACAACAATCTTAGTACCTGCCAGACTTCAGATAAATTATCAATTTATTTGTTTAAAGCAGCCACTAGCTCTAGGGCAGGACACAGGTCAAAAGCTTAAAAACAAACTTAAGGTGAATTTTTGCTTCTTGCCTGATGGAATAAATGGGAATGGACTTGTTCTATCTTCACAGAAAACTGAAAAACTGGATAAAATATATGAAACACTGTTTTCAATATTAGACAAAAACAGAGGACTTTTGGTTCCTACAAGAAGGACAACAAAAAAGAAAGTGCTATAATTTCCTTCGATTCCTTTTTTAAAGTACTTTTCAGTTCTTGGTAGAGGTAAAGAAAACTCTGATTTGAGGAAACACAGAGTTAGGGAGAATGAGAAAGATAAAATTTTTGGAAAAGGGCTTGGGAGAGGGAGAAATGGCAAGTTATTGTTTTATGGTTATAGACCCTATACTATAGAGTTTTAGTATTACAATTTGAAAATTTTCTGGACATGTGTTGCAAACTATGTGAATATATTTTAGAGTATTGAGCTGTATACTTCAAAATGATTAAGATAGTAAATTGCATAGTATGTATATTTTACCACAATTAAAAAAAGAAATATGATGGAAAAAAATAAAAACATAGAACAGATCGAAAAATATTAGCAAGATGGCAGTTTTAAACCCACCATATTGGTTGCATACATTGAATATAAATTATTTACACTCTAATTTAAAGACAAAGATTGGAAAACTAAATAAAATAGTAAGATCCAACTAATGCAGTTATATATAAAGAAAAATATAGGTTAAATGTAAAAAAAAATGGAAAAAGATGAACGATTCAATGGTAGTCATAAAATGGATACTCAGAGTCTTCACATATACTCACTGATTTTTGGCAGAATTTGATTCCTTATAGTTGTAAAACTTGTAATCCTAATTGCCATGCTGGCTACTGGTCAAGAATTGCTCATACTTCTCAGAGGCTTCCTACAGCCTTTTCCATATGTCCTTCCCACATGCAGTTCATTCACATTATAGTTGATTGCTTCCTTTTTTTTTTTTTAATTTCAGGATATTATGGTGGTACGAACATTTTGGTTACATGTTATGACTTTGCCTCACCCAAACCAGGATTGGAAGCATGTCCTTTCTCCCCTACAATGCTCACTGTGTCCATTAGTTGTGAGTTTACCCATTCCCCAACCTCCCAACCCCCAAAGAATATTGCTATTGTGTGAGCACCTTAGTGTTGACCACTTAGTGTCAATTTCATGGCGAGTACAGGTAGTGCTTGTTTTTCCATCTTGTGATACCTCACTTTGGAGGATGGGCTCAAGCTCTATCCAGGAAAATATAACAGGCACTAGATCACCATTGTGTTCTGTCATTGAGTAGTATTCCATTGTGTACATATACCATATTTTATTAATCCACTCATGGATTGACAGGCACTTGAGTTGTTTCCACATCCTTGCAATAGTGAATTGTGTTGCCATAAACATCTGAGTACAGATGTCTTTATTATAGAATGTCTTTTGTTCCTTTGGGTAGATGCCTAATAGTGCTATTGCTGGATCAAATGGTATTTCTATTTTTAGCTGTTTTGGAAATAATTTGGAGGTATCTCCAAATTATTTTTCACAGAGGTTGTACTAATTTGCAGTCCCACCAGCAGTGTAAGAGTGTTCCTATCCACATCCACATCAGCATTTGCTGTTTTGGGATTTTTAATTGCTTCTTCAAGGCTAGCAAGAGAATCAATCAGAATCAACCTCTCTCTCTGTCTTTCTCATTCCTCCCCTTTTCTTTCTTTCTTCATTTTAATCTTTCTGATTTCCATCTCTGACCCCTCAATCCTCTTTTAAAGTGCTCTTATCTGATTAAGATATTCAGGAGGAGAGTCTCCTTTGATTAGCTTAAAGTGAACTGATTAGGGATCTTAATTACCTCTGGAAAAATCCCTACATCTTTGCCATATATTAATAACAACATAACCTAATCATGGGAATAATATGACATTATAGTCATACTCAACTAGAGAGGATTATATAGGGTGTGCACACTAAAGGTCAAGAATCGTGGGCACCATTTTAGAGTTCTGTTTAAGATTGATAAAAAAGCACAATTATTATGCTTATTTTCTGGTCCTGAATAGCTTTACTGTTCCCCTTGCCCCATCTCCATATATGCCTCCATTGTATTAACTAAATCTAAGTTTCCTTTTGGACAAGGCTAGAGAATGAAATTGCAGTAGGAATGAATGTCAGACTTAACCCAAGAAAATGCCTAATGCTTACTAATTATGTTATGGATAATGAATGCAAAGATGGTAAATAAAATACCAAATTCTACTAAAAAGTTAAAATTCTCCTAACATTTATGATAATGCTTATTAGCCTAAAACAGGTTAGTCCTACATGTTATTGTATAATAGTATTTGGGTTAGCAAATACAATTTTTTAAAAAATTATTCTTCTACAGGCAGATTAAAGACAAGGAGAGAAAAATTGGATCAATTTCTAACTTTCTCATTCTCCTGCTTCCATTTCTAGAGTAGCCTGCTTCTATTTCTGAGCAATCTCCATTCAAGAATTTTGTTTCATATGACAAATTTAATGATTATGGCATTGACTATTGGTCCCACTGGGTCCCCCAGCTCCTTTGTAATATGTGTATGGAAAATAGGAGAGGAAGGGCTTGAAGTAGGGTGCTCAGATTTGTTTGGGGTCTCATAGTCTTCTGCACAGAGTGGATATAACACTAACTGCAAATATCAAAGAGCTCCCCTGTCTTCCTCGTGTCATAGCAAGGCCACTTTGCTATTGGCCCACATAACCAAATGTTATATCAAAAGGTAGAACTTATTATATATCCTTGAACTCAGTAAAATCTTCCAGTTGAGAGTGATTTTTAATTTCTATTTACAATTTATATCCTATTCAGACTGAATAATCTGCATGAGAGTACTTGCTATTTTTTAGGCCCTTCCTAGTAAATTTAACCAACCCATGATTTTAAATACTAAATCTTTTATCTTCCTTATTATGCTCTCCTTTCCTTCTTCTATATTGGTTTGTTGTTTATGACTTCAATAGTTTTTTCACTTCTATTCTTATTCCTGTCCCTTTCCTTTTTGATTTGTCTTTCTTATTATAGTTTTTCCTTTCAGTTGTTGCCTTTTGTTACCAATGTCCTCTGCAGTTGATAAAAACACCTTATTTCTTTGGACCTTTATTGGAAAAAATATATACTTTAGCTACTCTGTCTCTTCTAAAAGCAAGAATATACTTTGAATGAGGAGAAAGAAGTTTTTCACAGCTCTTTTATGAGAATCACCGACATTTCTATTTATCCAGATCAAAGGTAGAGCTCATACATATATCAAACAATTTCATAGTCCAAACCTTATCATTGAAATCAGTAATTATTTACTGGATTTGTGCTTTATGCCTAACATTGAGTCTTTAAACCTGGAAGACTTAAGGAAAAATAAAAAAGAATCAGAAAATTTCTCTTCTTTCAAGAACTTCGTTGTTTTATTTGACAGAAATAAAGATATAGCTAGTCATATACGAAAACAATTTGAGATTAATATGAGTGTTTAACTGAATGTATATTGTAGAGATTACGGATCACAAAAATGTTTATAAGAGAGAAAATAACAACATTCCACAAAATGGAAATACCACAGTCAAATTAAGAAAATAAACATTTCAATGCAACTAGACAATGGAGAAAGAAATCCATCAGACAAAAAATTTGGAAACATACCTTATGTTTAGCACGAAAATAGGCTAGAAATAAACTTTCAAGGACTTTTTCAGGCCTTTGGTTTTAAAGGTTATTTGATTTATCCCAGTATCTTTACATCATTTCCTCTGATTCAATTTATTCTCCAAACGAATCCAGATACTACACAATAAAAAAGACAAAGAAATCAGAAATTTTTTATCTGTGCCAAGAAGACAGGTGAACATTTTGTAAGTCTCTAGGGGATCTATTAATATCAAAAAGGACACATTACCTCATGTAACATGTTATTCCTCCTGTGAGTGCTGCAAGTAAAGACTGTTCAAAAATCTGCAATAAAAATATGAAGATAACAGACACTCACATCACACATATCCTTATCACAACTCACATATACCCACAGAATCACACATGCATACACACTGCACACCAAACACACACATACGCATTAAAACCATACACTACATACTATATATCCCATACATATACATACTCCTAAATCCCCAAGAGATCAAATGACTAAGTCCAAAATACAAATTTTCTCTCTTAATGATAGATGAAAATCCAATAGTTTTAGAAAGTCAAGTAGATAATTTTACCTAAAAGTGCATTAATTGTTATTCATAGAAAGTGTATTTTATTTTATGTATCTGCATATGAAAGCAATCTAAAGTGTTTTATTCTTGTGATTTTTAAAATGCATCTGTAACCTAAGTCTCTGGATCAATAGAAAGAGGACACTTTAAAATAAATGATATAGGCAGGTACTCAGTCAGAAAAAGAAGTCTTATTAAACAGATAAATATCATATACCATCCTTTCATGGTTGAGGAATTTTAAAAGCTGTTGGGTCAGAGAGAATTTACAAGCTATATCCCAGACATCAAAAGTTACTTTTTTATTGTATCTTAAAGGCCAGAAGAGTTAATGGAAGTCCTAGAGAGTTGTTTACACACTAAAATAAGTTGTGCAGGCCAAGAATTCCTAGGTGCCAGCTGAAAGGACAACTCTTAGTCTCTAGTTTCCTATACTGGCATAGTCATATCATGCAACTCAATTCTGACTCAGGCAATTTAGATTAACTGACTGTAATCTAGAACTTAATGTCACAATCTATGGTCTAAGGTCCTAGAATTTCCCAACCTAATCTGAGCATAAGAATCATCCTGAACATGAATGGAAAATAAACATGCCAAGGCCTTTAGAGTCTCTGATTCATTTGTTCTGTGTTTATCCTAGAAATCTTTATTTATAACAAATTTCCAAGGTAATTCTAAAAACTAGCTAAGTCTTATCATACATGAAAAAGCTGTTACCAGATGTTTGGCAATAGGATCATGCTAGTAGTATCTTTCTCTAACATTCCGTGCCCTTTTTGCTCATTCCTTCCCTGCTTCACTCATTTTTCTACCACATCTTTCAATTTGGGTCTGACTGCTAGTTGACCTAACAGATTATCAACAGCCTCTCACACTCACAAAGTTCTTATCTACCAACTTTAAAGAAAATCAAGTAAAATTTGATAATGCTGCCTTAGGAATCCAATGAGCTCCCACCTGACTACTATAAAGATGTAAGGGCAAAGTGAGGCAGCACAGTTCTCCCTGGACCAATTCAGCTCCCTCTCCACCCCCTATTCTGTATGCAGCTCCCAAAATAACTATAGAAAATGCTAGGAATGCAATATCTTAAGATAGAAAGGTTGCACAGATAATGAATCAGATTCCATACAGCAAACACATGTACTTGGCTCAATTTCTTTAGCCAATGGCTTGGTAAGATTCAAGCACTTTAAGTTTGTCTTGGGTGATAGACACAATTTAGTAGTTTACTTAAACCTAAATGCAGGAGTTAGAAAAGCTGTATAATTTTTTGCCACGAATCCTCTTGAATGGTCCCATCTTAATGGGCAGAGAGGAATACTTGAGGATTTGCCATGAGAAAACAATGTGTTCATTTATAATGATACAGTTGTTAAGCCACCATTAGGAGACCATCATACATCACATGCAAGAAAAAGTGAATCTATAAATGAATAATCTTTTGTTTGTATAACTTGGGCATGTCTGAGAGAAATATACATGCTTGTTGCTTTGTAATATATTTATTAAAGAATAAAAGAAACTTCTCAGTTCCTGAAATGAGAAAGGAACCATTATAATTGGGTGCTACCAATGTTGAAGAATTGCAAGTGCAGCATAGAGTCAACAGGAGGTAAAGTTTTTACCCTGTATTATTTGTGGAACACAAAACAGCAAAGTTCTCACTGGGACAAAGGATAAGGCATATCTTCCCATTCTGCTTAGATCTTCAAAGCCATTTGAAATTAATATTTTTAATATTAATATTAATTAATATTTTTATTTAATTAAACCTGAGTAAGAAAACAAAGATTTTACGGAAAATTCCTTTACATTAATATCTGTCCTCTGCAGTTCTAAAGCTCTCATATACTACTTTTGATTAAGTCGTGTCCTAGAAAGAAAATAGTGATCTGTCTTGATCTTTGGTAAATAAAATACCTACTTATGCTCTCTTACCAAATATTTAATAATTCTCTAAAAATAGGAGATGTTAAGATGGAGGAAAATATTTTAATTTTCTTGACGAAAGAAAAGATCGTGCTTGATCATAATACTTTGTTCCAATGGCAGAGGTTCCATTACTATGTTCTTTTTATGTATCTCCTTCACCCCTTTAATATTCCTTTTTTTATCTTTCATTAGATCTGAATTTTTCATGGAGGTTGTGGCTCCATCAACTTCTGTGACATAACATATTAATATAAATAGAAATTTTAGTATGTTCATTAAGCCCCTGCCAAATTGTGTGTGTTTAAGTATATCCTAATACAATAGTCACTAACCTTTTTGGCACCAGGGACAGGTTTCATGGAAGACAATTTTTCCACAGACTGGGGTCGAGGGGATGGTTTTGAGAGGATTCAAGGGCATCACATTTATTGTGCATTTTATTTCTATTACTATTATATTGTAATATATAATGAAATAATTATACAACTCACCATAATGCAGAATCAGGGGGAACCCTGAGCTTGTTTTCCTGCAAATAATGCCGCTGCTGCACTGATAGGAGGCAGAGCTCAGGCAGTGATGTGAGTGATAGGGAGCAGCTGTAAATACAGATGTGCTCACCGGCAACTCACCTCCTGCTGTAAGGCCCAGTTCCTAACAGGCCACAGACTAGCACCGGTCCAAGGCCCAGGGGTTGGGGACCACAGTCCTAATATATCCATTCTATTTATCTGTATGTATGTGTATCTCTCTATGTGTGGCTCTGACTCTTTCTCTCTCTCTCTCCCTCCCCCCCACCCTTTCTCTCAGCATGTGTGTCTAACTCTTGCTCTCTCTTTCTGTCTCATGTGTGAGGAATAAATAAATCATCCACTCCCAATAAAATTAAATAAATTTTTCACAATCAAATGTGAAGCTAGAAAAGCAACGTAAAATGTACATCCTCAGGAATATATAAGGCTGTAGACCCCAAACCCTAGGCCTGGGACTGGGCAGCATAGCTCCATTTCCTCCCACCACCCCCTTGCCACATCTGCAGAAAAATTATCTTCCATGAAACCAGTCCCTAGTGCCCAAAAGGTTGGGGACCACTGATACAAGGTAATCTCAGATAAATACAAAAATTTTCAGGTCAGAATATAACTTAATGAAGTTTTTAGATATTTATAAAAAGAATATGTCTTTTAAAAAAGACTTGCTCAAGTAGGCAGATATTGGGTATGTTTATCCATTCACTGTTCATAAGAGTGTCCAAGACCCTGGATGCAAGAAATCTGTCCCCTAGACACTTATATACAAATGGATGCAAACAGAAGTCACAGCTTATATTTTGCAATGAAACACTTGACTCATGAAACTAACATTTTTTGCAAAAAGATTATTTGTCACTAGATAATTTCACCAATGGTCAATCTTATGTAGTAATCAGTTTTCTGAAAAGTATAGTTTTTTTAAAAAAACTGTAGCAGCTGAGGACCAGTCTTACTGAGAATTCACAGGTTTACATGCAATTATAGGTAACCTAGCATAGCCAGACACCCTAGGCAAAACTCTGACATTATGAAAAGCTCATTTTAAGGTTCTTAAACTAGTTTCATAGGATTCAGTCAGAATCCTTTGCTTATGCCATTGATTCACTTTAATATTAAAATATACGTATTTATTGAATGACTACCTCTGTGATAGATATAGGAGATATTTTATTTAAATAAAACATCTATGATCTGTGAACATGGCACTTACAGTCTTTCCTTATTATTTCTTTTCTACCCCTGTTAAGGAAAAGTGAAAAGGTGTGATTATGTTTAAATAGTATGCTTTGATTATTTTTAATTTACAGAGGGTAAAAGGAGGACTTATATCAATTTTATTTATATTGAATAATGTCCAGTCAAATGTATTTTGATTAAAAGAATTAAAATAATAGCTTTAAATGTTAAAGTTTTAGGAACTTTCTAAAATAAAGGAAACATTTTTTTGTTGTTCAGAGTTAAACAATTGTCAAAGCAATTTGCAATTGTCAAAGCAAAACAATTACAGAAGCAATTTTTATTCACCTTGTTCTCTGTATAAAATTTTATCCCTTTTACCAAAGAATCACTGTCATTACTTAATATAAAATTCTATTCTATCATTTATATTAGACTTTTTGAGAAAATATTTTAAAATATTTCTGTCTTCTATAATATTAAAAATATATTATGTTAACCACTATCATTTTTATTTTAACTATGAATCAATACTACTTATATGGTATGTTATTTCAAAAAACACCATTTAGGTATTTTCAAGCATTTCTATTGAATTCATCTGGGGAAGATGTGTTTATACCGTTGCACACATATCCAGTTAGCTAACAAATCCAAGTCATTAAAAAATCACTACTTTGGGAATATAATTCTATGAGCTCTCTCTTCTCTTTTTGTTCTCACTAAACTCTTTTAAATTCTTTATTTCTTTCTGAAAGATTACTGACCAAAAGAAATTATCCAGTGAGCGTATGTCTGTATTATGCATTCCTTTTTTCTTTCTATATAGCTCCTTGATTACCAGATAAATATTGGTCCTGTCTTCCTTGAGCACCTTTCATCCTCTGTAGTATAATTTTATGTTAAGGTTTAGAGACACCACAATTGAATTGCATAAATCTACTCATTATATCATTTAAGCTTTGACTTTCTATTGTAGCCTGTGGGAAAGAAAGCCTTTTTCCTACTCTGTAGTCTAAATTTAAAATCTAGAAATATGACCAGATGTTCTCATTAAGCATTAAATGAATACCATGCATGTATATCA